AGGCGGGGGCGGCTCCGCGGTACTATGGTCCCCGGTCCGTGCAAGCTGCAGCCAACGGCCTCATGAAAACCTGTCTCATCCACCTCGAGTGCGGGTCTGTGTGAGCGCCAGCGAGCTCCCGGCCGGCAGCGGGGCTCCTGTGCCCTGCCAGCAGCTGCGGAGACCACCTAAAACCAGCTACGGGAGGGATCCACAGGTGGGAGAGCGTGTGTGCAACAGCCGTCAGGCAGGGGTTCAGCCTGCTGACAGGCTGGGCCGGGGCATGGTCTGTCAGGCTCTCAGCTCCAGCAACCACCTGCACCAAGGCCCATCCCAGGAGATACCATCAGCTCTGCTCTCGGAGTGGCCCACAGCACACCCAGCAGAGGATGGGTGGGGGTGGGATGGCCGGCAGGTGGTTGCCTGACCTTTGAGAAGGGTCCCTTGTGTTTTCCAAGCAAATCCGCATTACCAGCCCTTGCATGACACCTTCATATAAGAAGCCCCGGAAACAAAATGCCCTGAACTGAGTGGCAAAGCCCATGGCAGTGACTGGAATGCAGCAAAAGGCTGTTTGGATGATATACAGGAAACGGGACAAAAATGTATCTGGGCACTGCCAGGGCTCAGATAGCTTCTGCCTGAACCTTGGCTGGAGTAGTCGTGCTGCTGCCTTCACTAGATGCTTCGAGCATGCTTGGTTTCAAAGGGCATCTTATATTTCTCTTTCAAGCCAGCTATTTCCATAGCAGAAAGTTTTACTGCAGCATGGCTGTTTGCCAGAGAAGGGCCATCACCTGTTCCTGTGGCACTGCCCATGTTGCTGGAAGGTGCACGGCATGTGGGTGAGAGTCCCCCCCACAGGGGGATGAGCACACAGGCTCTCCCGGTGAGCAAATAGCACAAGATGCAAATGGCTGGACCATCTGATGTCCCACAGGGAGCTCCTGCTGACCACCAAAGAGGAAACTGATAGGAGACAGGAGCAGAGGGAAATAAAGTCCTGAAGAGAGAAGCAGACCCAGAAAGTGCTCTGCATCCTTTCAGCAGAACTCAGGGAGAGGCATAGTGTTCCTCAGAAGTATGAAGACTGGCTCCTGACAGCAGCTGAGAAATGGGTCCAAGCCACCACTGCAAGGTCAGGCAGAAGGAAGTACAGAGGGAGAGCTGCCCAGCTTCAAGGGCTGCACAGCAGGTGGTACGACCCAGGCCAGACACTCCTTTTCTCCACTAGTTTTGTTTCAGGTCCTGTCCTCACACATCATAGAATGGTTTAGGGGGGAAGGGACCTGAGAGATCATCTAGTTCTAACCCTCCAGAGCACCTCAGCCAAGTCATCTCAGGGCAAAAACCATGCCTGTAACAGATCCAACATGCTTCACACTAAGTAAGGCAGCTGGCAACATTTTGGGAGTTCCTAAATCCTATGTCAGATAGCCCTGGAGGTTAAGGATTGGAAAAGGAGGCTACAGAGAGAGAAACAGGCATTAGAGAAGCAGTTGTGCTCAGGGAAGACCTCCTCCCATGCTGTTGTCATGTTGAGGTCAAGCTCATCTCCCCAACACCACTCCACAGCTCCTGGCTGGAGTGTGCATCTGTACCAGGTGCTGCAAGCTTCTTTCATTTGCAGTTTGCATCAAATTAGCCTCATGCACACTGATAATGGGTAGGACACCAACTGGGAGAAGACTGGGTGCACTGCTGCTCCTCAGTGGTGCCCACGTGTGAGATGGGGTCTGCCCCAGTCCAGACCAAGGCACCTTCCCCCTACCTTCATATCCAAGAGTCAGGAACACAGCAATAGTCTCAGGGCTTGGTTATTCATACAGAGGTGCAAACACATTCAGTCCTAGCCTCTGAAGCACACCTGGCTGATTATCTTCTAAACCTCCACACCCCTGTGCTTCAGCACTGGCCAAAGCCCAGAGCAAGCTTTAGGGGCTTTCCACATCAGTTAGAGGCAAGGCTAGGACCCAGCACAGAAGCAGGTGAACTGTTCTCCACCTCCTTCCAGGAAGGGATCACCACCACAAGGACACTATGTCAGCTCCCCAGTCTCTTTCTCATCCCTGAAATGAGTTCAAGCTGATGTATTCAGGCCTGAAACAAGAAGGACCAGGTAAGGCTGAGAGTCTCCTTGTCACGCACCTCTGCCTTTCCAGCCAGCAAGCCATGCCCTACCTGCCCTCTTTGGTGTAGCACTCAGCTACTTCGTGCTTGACAATGGTTAGAGCTGCCGCTGAGGTTCCCAGCTTCCTCAGAGTGAATTCCCCTGGCTGCTAACACAGAGACACCAAAACCAACTCTGGGATCAGCTCCACCATCCCACTGCCAGGAACACTCCTGGCATGGTCAGACCTGGCACATGCCGCCATAGTGCCGAGCTCTGGCCAGAGCCCACCATGGCCTGACCCAGACAGAGCAGAAGAGTACAGCACATGTAAAGGTAACATTTACTGAGAGATACAGAACTGAATATTATGAAGGACATACATGGATGGAGATGATAGCGACACCACTGCGGAGGGCAGCTTGGACCCCCTTCCCAGCATGCTGGGGAAGGAGCCGGACGCTACCAGACAAGTAACACAATGGAGATAACTGTGGCATATGCATTTGTAACAAACAGACCATCATAACATACATTTCTACGGGATCACATCTAGTGATTATATAAATCCATATAGAGATCGCTGTATAAAAACTTTGTAAAAAATACTTTAAAAAAAGTGTAAAAATGTGCATTCAAAAGCACGGCCGACACGGACAGCTGGGCTGTAAACATTATACTGAGAGTGTGCTTGTGGGGGGCGCCTGCGCCACCGAGCCCCGACAGGCCTGCCCACCCGATGGGGCTGCATCAAGTCTTTGTGGTTCTTGGGTTCGGGTTTCCCTCCGGAGCATGTGCCAGGAGCGGCAGCAGCCTCTGGGCAGGGCACTGACGGACACCATGCAGCCACCGCTGCTCCGCCTGCAGCCCCTGCTCCCCACGGGGCGCATGGTCCTCCCAGGACGTGCTGCGGCGGCATGGGTCCCCAGGGCCACGAGCAGGCTGAAGGGCCGTGATGAGGTATCACGGGCAGGTTGCCCTCACTGACGCCACTAGACCTGCTCCCGGGTTCAGCCTCAGAGTACATGGTTGACAGGTTCCTGATCTTCTCTGTCCCCGTATTTGTTTGGTCAATAGTTCCCAAGGAAGCCCACTGGGTCCTGGCTGCACCAGGCCTGGGTGCAAAGTTCTTCATACAGTACATACATTAGAGACCCTGGAAGACCCTGCACCACTGTCTCCTCCTCCTGGCCCAGTGCCACCTTCACTTCTTCTCTAGCTGCTCCAGCAGCGGGTTGGCTTCGCTCTCAGGTGTCTTGATGCTCCGCACGATGCCGGTGGGCCGGTCCCGGTTCGGCATCAGGATCAGCTGCTGCCTCTCCTGTTTCAGCTCTTCTATCTGGGCCTTCAGCTCAGCATTCATGAGCTCCAGACGCTCAGACTCCTAGCAGGACAGAAACACAACCACAGGTGACCTTACTCCAGTAGGACAAGATACAAGAAGAAACCCTTTGGCCAACAAGCCATCTCTGCTTCGCGTTGCCCTGCAGGCCCTGCAGCACAGGAGCAGTCTGAAGACCCGCAAGGCACCAGGTCCCTCCAGGCAGTTTATCCCCAGCCCTGCTGCCCTGCACTACCTGGTGCCAGCGCAAGGAAGCACACCAGCATCTCCTAGGACAGGTCTCTGCTGCACCATGGCAAAAACCCTGCCTGGCTGCCTTCCACGGGCTGGAAGGATGTCTGGAAACAAACCCACGTTTAAGTTTTCACACCCCATCTGCAAGGATCTGCCCCCGTGAAACAGCTCCTTGTCCCCCACTGTGTCATCTGCCCATGTTCCACCACCCCTTGCAGAAGAGCAGCAAGGTGCTGTGAGAGTTTTTCTGCTTTGGGGTCATGGGTGAGAGGGCACCTGGCCTGAATGGGGAAACCTTCAGGAATTTGGGCAAGAGGCCAGCATTCTGTCAGACCCTGACCTGTGCCACGCTCCCACAGTGCTCTTGCTCCAGTACTGAGGCAAGGACACTACCAGCTCTCTCCCCCAAGCCCACAGCCCACCTCCAGTCCTCTCCATCCTGGTACCACGGGCACAGCAATGCCCATGAGCTCTGCCTGGGCACACATGTGGCCACCACCTTCACAGCCTTGTGGAAAAGGGGTAACGGGCCCGCACTTTCCCAGATAAGGGCACAGGAGCAAGGGGAGGCAGAGGGGCAGTTGAGGAGGGAATGTTTCCCACAGCTGGGACACCTTTCTAGGTAATTGCCCCCACCAAGGTCCCTGCTGCATCCTGGGACAGGTCAGGTCACCCACCCGCTGCAGGAACTCCGTCCTCTCCTTCTTCTTGTTACGACATCGCGCTGCTGCTACTTTGTTTTTTTCCCGGCGCCTTTTCCTCCTCTCCTCTTCCTCATCCAGCTGCAACAAGACAGAGAAGCCCAGGTCAGAGCCAGCAGGTGTGGGGCAGGACAGGAGGTAGCAAGTGCCTGGAAGCCCCACTGGTGGCAGGGCAGGGAGAGGGGTGGCAGACACTCATGCCAGTGGCCACCAGCAATATCGTCTAATCCTCACCAGGAACCAGGCGTGATGCTGCCGCAGCCTCTAACTCCATTCTGTGGGGACACGGGGAGGGAGACCAGCGCAGTACCCACAGCTGGGGACCCGGCTGGCAGGGGACACACAGCTCTTTGCAGGGCTGCTCCCTCCCTGAGAGGGGGCAGAGACAAGGGGAATAGAGCCCCATCCTGCACAGATGGGCACAGATTGTCACACAGACATCGACAGGCACAACTCTGTGAGCGCAGTCATTCAAAGCACCACACACATAGCCAAGGGCAAGAGGCAGAGAAACCCAAAAGATCCCCTAGCTGGCCCTGGCTGTTCCCCCCCTTCCAGTACAGGGGTCCGTCTGCTGCAGCTTCAGCACTGTCTGAGTCACAGGGCCACCGGGGTAAGATGGGGACTGGTCCTGAATCCCCTCTAAAGAAGCAGGACGTGGCAGTGCTTGCACTGTTCACCGTGACTCAGTTGCTCTGCGCTGTCTGACCCAAACCACACAGGCCAGGCCAAAAAGCCCTATGGGTTTCAAACCCATAATCAAAGTATTTAGGGATGTTTACTACAAAGGCTGTGTAAATGGCCTATGGCATGCTTACATCTGAGAACCCAAACCAACTCTCAGGAAAAATCCGAGGGCCAGAAAGCCCTGCAAATTCATCATCCCAGTTACATTTTGTAGCATGGCTATGGCAGAAAGGGTCCCCAGTGCCTCCAGACACATTTTGCCTGGGACTCTAGAATTCGAGTCATACTGAACTGCCTCGTTCCTATCACCTGATACCTGACAGCGTACATATTTTCAAATGCAGTGGCAGCAACATTTTGCTTTAGGAGCAGTTCCACAGCCTATTTGCACCTTCTCCAAGGGCAGCTCCAGTCTGAGAAGGCAGCGCATCCTTCCCCACATCAGTGTTGTTGAGGGACATATCTCCCAGATGAGCCTTTCACAGCACACACCATCTGAACAGCCTTTTTTCTCTAGTGCCTGGGCTTGGTCACCTCAAAAGGAAAGTCAGAGATCCCCAATGCCAAGGCCACAAAACGGTGGTGGGAGTAGGGGGCCACCGGATTACACACACAGGTACATCAGTGGTGCCTGCAGGAAGTGAAAGCTGCAGGTGCCATCGTCCTCAGCATACTGTGCATGCTGCTAACATCCACTGAGTCCAAAGCCCACTAACAAAACATCTCAATATGATGTGCAAGGGCAGGATGAAACTGACTTGTCAGAGTTAAGGTGAAGAGGTACCTTAAGGAAGCTGCATGTCCAATATGCAGCATGTAGCATGCTTTAGAAGACAATGTCCAAGTTTTATAGCATTAGTAGCTTTTGCACTTTCTCTACATTACTTTCCAAACATTATACTAAAGTTGCCATTTCAGACAGGACTAAAATATTAAGCAAAGCAGCACAAGCTACGCACAGACTTCAATAATGCCAGGGTGCCACCATTCCTTTGACAAGGCAATGCCATGGGGCATCTTGCACCACACTTGAGAGAACCAGGATGGGAACTGAACTGATGCCCCCCAGTCCAGGTAGAAATGGCCAGTTCCCTCTAACCCCGTGTAACTCAGACATGGCAGGCATTAACAGAAGTGACCTGGAAGGCTCTAATTCCACACTGTGCTGCCTTTTCCTCTTGGCAGGACCAGGGTAGTCCACAGCAAGGCACAAGCAGCTCTTAAAAAATTTCCATTCAGAATTTAAGAGGAGGTGGACATCAGAATAGCCAACGTTCCCCTCCACACATTTACAAACTACTCATCTACCCCTTAGATAGCTTCTCAGCCTTTTACTTCAAGGATTATTAGGAAGGTGCAGAGAGGGGACACATGCTCACAGCTCTGAAGCTCAAGAAACACACCGCAAACTTTCCTACAAAGTACATCTTGGCTTGTAACAGGAACTGGAAGAGCAAACATTGACCGCACAAGCCTCACGGTCTGCCTGGGAGCTGCCTGACACTTCCATGCCCTATTGCTCTATTCAGCGAGTATCAAGTAAGTGACCTGTCCCTGCCCCCTTCAGCTTCCCCTCCACCCCGGAGGGCCCAGCAAAGGCTGTGTCCTGCAGATGTGGCACTGAAGCTCAAGGAGGGTGGCTCAGCACAGATTGCAGCAGCTTCAACTCTTGGCTCTGCTTTTTGACCACAGTTCCTGTAACTTCAAGAAAGCAGGTTTCCCTCTCTCCGTTTCTGCTTTATTTCAGTTCAAAAAGGTGACACGGCCCTGGTGCTGGGAATTAGGACTCTACTCAGAGACATGAGGGACAGTGACATGAATCACCCCACAGCATGTTCCAGTAGCTGATCTCCAGGGAAGCACTGTGGGTAGAAGGTCTGGGGTTGCATCCTGAATTGCTTCAGTCAGCAGCATCAGGGACAGAGGTGACCATCAGCCTGAGGGGCAGGGCTCTGGACAAGAGGGAACACCCCAGGTGGGTTTCGATGGCAGAGGAGCCTGGCAGCACCTGTCTCCAGCTGCCCCAAGAGGAGGGCAGCCTGCCAGTGCAGCTGTCCAGCACCCTGCAGGGATGCCACTACCCACTGAGGGGTTTTGTGCGCACTCCCGAAGACAAACACCCCAGTGCCAGGAGATGCTGGTCCCCCCAACACAGCAGAGAAAGCTGCCTGTGCCCCAGATCATGGGGAACAGCCTGCCCTCCCAGTCACTGTGCAGAGGATGCCATACTGGCACCCAGCGTCCCCAGGCTCTGGCTCTCTGCGAGAGGAAAGCAGCTGCAGGCTGCATTGCAAAATCATGCGTGGGCAGCTTCTTGGCTACTCATGGGATAAGAAGCTACTGCTTCAGCTCCCTCAGGCTTTCACAGCAAAGCCTCTGTCAGGGGCAGCTCCATTTGCTGTCCTCAACTCCTCAGCTTCACAGGCCATGCAGGGGAGGAACCAGCTGCAGGGAAGGCAGCTGTGCGGGGGCTGCCAGTGGATTTCCCCTATCTTTCCTCCACATGGTGTTTCAACAACTGACTCAGAGGACACTTGGCACTTCCAGTACCTGCTACAGGGCAGAGCTGCCCAGTGAGACCACATCCCCATGCCCACCAAACAAAAGCAGCTGTTGCAGGGCCAGCTCAGAGGTGTCCGAGACACACCAGGGAAGGAGCTGTGTCCAGGAAGACAGCACAGCTACAAATGCCCTCTTTTTTTCCCCAACCCGTGAAATGAGATGGGCATTGCACCCTTTGCTGCATGATACCCCAGCCAAGAGCTTGGAACAGCACTTGGCTTTAGCTGCCAACCCACAACTGCTTTGCACATCGAGCAACCAAAGCCTTTAGCATGCCCCAGGCCCTTCTGTGGCCTCCCGCAGCATACTGGCCTCAGCTCCTGCCATTGTGGAGCTGCCCAGTCCTTCCCCAGATGAGCTCCATGGGGTGCTGCACAAGCTGATCAGACACCTCCCTGTGCGCAGAGCTCCTGTGCAAGGTGACCAGATAGACTCCACCATACTGGTGCTCCCTAGGGGAGTCCACCACAAGGGGATGGGGGGAAGGAAGAGACACCCTCCCAGCAGCGGGCCCAGGTGCTGCTGAGCTTTTGCCATAAGAGTTGAGCCAAACCAAGTGTCAGCACCATTTGGAGAGCAGGCTGCTCCCGGGAACTGATGTTTTACCCCCTTCAGCTCACAGCTCATCACAGGCAGCTTTTCAAATCATCCAGCACCTCCTCGCTGACGTCTCCAGAGAATCCATGTCACCCCATCCTCACATGGCATTAACTGAGGTATCCTCACGCAGGAGCAAATGCACTGTTCAGAAGGGTTGTTCATTGAACCTTCTGACAGCAGCCACCACCCTCACGCCCCAAAAGTTATGCGTTCCCAGCTCCACCTGCAGGCCGTGGGAGGTGCAAACACTCACCACCAGGACAGCAAGGGTCAAGGAATCAAAGACTGGCCACATGAGACAACCACACAAGGAAAATACTGTGCAAAGGTCTTCCAAGTCCCTGCAGCCTGATTCTGACATGCTAGCCTGTGGTACTGAGCACCAGATGCCCACCTTCCCCATCTCAGGAGCCCCAAGGTGTAGCCAGGTCCCCCTCTGAGCAGTTGGGCAGGGCAGCCCCAGCAGCACAAGCTGGGTCACTACTGCTGCTTGGCACCGCTCACCCACGTGCCTCATCCCCATGGGAAAGGCAATGCCAGCAGCACCAAGGGCTCACTGGCAACAGACACAGGGTGAAAGCACCGCACAAGACCTCAGACAGGCTGAGCAGCTTCTCCTTAGGGTACATACCCCAACCTAGGGACACATTGGCTGCGCCAGACCCACTCTGCAGGCAGGGTTTGAGTTCAGCCAGCTGCCAAGAGCTGCGTGGGACCAGTCAGGTATGGAACACTGAGGCCACCACTCCCAGCCCATGCCACAGGGGCAGAAATTCAGGCACGAGGAAGAGGCAGCCAGTGAAGCCATTGCCAACACACATGCACATCACCAAAGAGGCAGAGTGACATGCTTATAAAACACGTTGCTGGCCATCCTGGCAGGAAAACCAAGCACAGGCAGGAGAGAAGCCCAGGCAGGTGCAGGCAACGGCTGTGCAGGGCCATCTGCAGCCAGCAGCCCCCGAGACTCACCTCACTTTTCACAGGCTGAGGTCTCTTCCCAAGCTTCACCTCCAGGAAGTGGAGTGGTGAGATCATGGCCCCGATGTTGCGGATGTCAGCGTACTTCAGCTCCTCGGCGGTCAGGGCTGTGCCAGTCAGTCCTGTCAAGGGGCCGAGCCCAGGCAGCGCGCCGGCCGTCAGGGACGGGTCGGGGATCTGCCCTGGCATCATAGCACGGGAAACAGCTTCGTAGGCTGGAGGGAGAGTGAAACACAGCCTGTTACAACCCAGCTACAGGGCCTCATGACACAGAACAAGCCAAATTTATTCTACAGTCCCATCACCTGACAGGGTGCAAACCAAGGAAAGCAGTTGCTCTTCCCAGAGATGGCAAAGGCAAGGACTATGCAGAACCTGGGCAATAGAAACCAATACATACGAATTCTGCTAGGGAGGAGACACTGTTGGGGTGTAGATCAAGAAGGGAAGAGACCTGAAAGGCAAAGCATCAGAAGAACAGGAGCTGGCTGCAAGGACAGTGTTGTGGTCCCATGGACTGTTGGTTTTGGCACACCTTCCTCTCAAGTGCAGATCAAGGTTTGCCCCTAACCAAGTTTTGATTAATGTGTAGGTTATTAGGACAAGAAGAAAATGGCACAAAGATGACTGTAATATGCCTTAGGCTGGATTTCTTCTGGGTAGGCTCAGCTCTCTGGTCAGGGCTGACGCACAGCACATGGGGACCAGGTATAAAACCACGATCAAAAAACCTGACACTGAACAAATATCTCCCAGCACAGACAGGAGGAACCGAAGGCTTCTCATAGAGGGGAAACAGAGCAAGGTGCAAAAGGCTTCTTCTATCAGGAAAGAAAAAAAAATTGGAGTGCAAGTGATAATGGGATCAAGACAAGCTTCGGCAAGTCACTTAAAGGCAGAAGAAAGGAAGCTACCAGGAAACATGAAGAACAACTGGTTAAGAGATTAAGAAACAAAATTGTACCTAAAATGGGAAGCCCATATTGCTGGAACTGTTAGATCAGCCAAAAAGCAAAGGGAGCAGGTGGTTGTTGGCTACAGCACAAGTACATCCCTACTTGTGTAACTGGCCCGGGACACTCACAAGTGACCCAGTTACAACATGCAGAGTCAACTTCTGTCCACACAGCAACCATTCCCCTCCCAGCTCAACCACATGTCCCAGTACTGGTGCACTGCTCTCCTTGCTTTGCCCAGCCAGGCTGGTCCCAGCACACTCCAGGAGCCTCCCAGCAATGACCCCATCCTGCCCCCACATCAAGAGGCACCTACACAGTGGTGAGAGGGACCAGCAATGTCAGGAGAGAGAAACAGGCTAATGGAGTGGACCCAAAAATCTCACTGTGCAGCTTTCCACAACCGCCAGAGCCAGTCACAAGGCAGGATTCAAGAAGCAGTTGGGCAAACTCATGGAAGAGGGGTCCACAAAGGACCATCAGTCACATCAACCTGCACAAATTCCTGGAAGCTTTGACAGCACCAAGTGCCCGAGCGAGAAGGTGCATTAAGCAAGCAATAACATGCACTTGCCCTGCTCTTTCTAAAGCACCCACTAGTAGCTGCTGAGAGACCAGGTCCAGGCAGTACAGCTATGCTCAGCAGAGGCACACACACATTGTCAAGCCACCTGCCACAGTTGCTCAGCGCTTGCCATCCTGGGGTGACAAATCTATGTCAGTACCAGGCTGAAAACTTAAGTAAGGCTGTATGTGAGATAGGACTGTTGGACCATGGAGTCATGTTGCAAAGAGCTGGCCAGAATCAAGACAACAATCAATACAAGTTAAGCTTCTTGTTCACTTTATTCAGGGTTCAGGGGGAATATATAGCATTCCAAGCCTTGCATGCATTTGCTTTCTAACAAACATGATTGGTTTGTTACCTGCATGCATGCGGTGTGCACGAAGCAGCAGCCAGTGGTCACTGGTTCTCGCCCTCTTGGCATGCAGTTTATTTGCACACCCCTCTCTTTCCTATCCCTGAGCCTTCCTCCCCCCTGCTGTTTACCAGTTCTTTTACTCTTTTCCTTTGCTGTTTTCGATGAGAGTCCCAAGGACTCTCAGGCCTCTTTATCGAAGTTTGGATTGTGCACATACTGATGTCCCTGCTCACTGAGCCGTTCTCCCACAGAGTCACAGAACAGCTGAGCTGGGGAAGGACCTCTGGAGATCACCTGGTCCAACCCCAATGCTCAAGCAGGGTCAGCAGGACCAGGCTGAACAAAGTGAATCATGACAAGCAGAGACATTAAGGATTTCTTGGTGCCAGCACATCTCTTTACCCAGGAGAGTATTTGGTTTATTTGTTAATGTGAAGGAACAGGAGATGAGCAGCACAAGAGAAGGAAACTCAATCACAGAGGTTTGTCAAGGGTAGAGAGGTAAACGTAAGCTCCATAGCTCCCAACATGGGTGCTGTGCAAGCCATACTGGCTTGATAGACAAATGGATTTGCATCAGTGAGTGCCTACAAGCTGCAATATGCTGTGAACTGTTAAATGCTCTAATCTGACACTGAAGAGGTCCAGGTGTCAGCACGAGATGTCCCCTGAAAGAGGTTACTCAGCAGACAGCAGCAGTGACCAACAGGACTTGAGAAAGTGTGGAAAGCAAACGCAGCAAGACTGTGACCATAAAGAGGTGGCGAGCAGGAATCACACCCTCTGCTCCAGTCATCCTTCAGGAAGGGAGACCAGAAAGGGGAGAGCAGGCCAGTGCTCAGCAGTGCTGGTATGCAGGGTGAAGAAGCTGGGCCTGGGGGAGGTGATCTGCACAAGGACACTAAAACCCGAAAAGGAGAAGATGGGAAAGATAAGAGACATGAGTAACTTCTGAAGCAAAGTGATACTACCTGATAAAATGGACTCCTGCCCATTTGGTGACAGAAGAGAAAGAGAAAATACTTGACCTCAGAAAAGACTACACGTCAACTCATTGAGACTGCAAGGACCTAAACAGATCCAAATCATTAATTCTTCCATAGCAATCTCTAAACCAGACACCTGTAAATCCACATGTGCAGTGATTGCCTTGTACAGCATCAGGAGATGCCCACTCACAGGAGGGCTCTGAAGCTGCACCCTGCCTCCCTCCCCTTCCTTTCAGGCCTACACACAGCTAAGATGCTTCCCTCCTCCAGCAACCGGGCACCATCCTACCCTAGGCTGCATTCCAGACAGAAAAATGCAAGAAGTTATTTGGGGACTGTGCCTAAATCCCTACCATCTTCCTCAAGAGACTGTGCCTCTCCAGCAGGAAAGTGACAGGTGGCATGGCAAAGGGGAGGTGACTCCAGAGGCTCTTTCCAGGACACATTGCCACAGGACTCTGCTACATGGTGTTAAATTCAGTCTACCATTTTGGGACAGCTGCACACACCACTTCTCAGCCACCGCCATTAAGACAACATGCTGCGGCACTGGGGAAGAAACCTGCCAAGAGCAGCGCACCCCGGGCCAGCTGCTGCACACCCCCTCATCAGCAATCCCATAGATGTCCACCCCCAGCTGGAACAGTTTTGGTTGAAGTGAAAATAAAAATAAATTTTAAAATTGCTATCTAAACTATATGAACACCCTCCTGAAGTCTCCCTCCTGCAAATCCCAGGTGTGAGCTGCTATGGCACACACTGATTTGGGGACCTGACCCACCCTTTCACAGGCTTCGGGCTGGGAACTGAGTTGAGCCCAGCACTGGATGCCTAAATCCATTCCAAACTTGGGAGACCTGGTTTTAATTTGTTGTCTTCCATCAAGACATGCAGCTGACTTCACCCAGGTGCTGGCCTGGACAGCCCAGGTCCTCAGCTAGACCAAAGTCAGGGTCACTGCAATTTATGAAATAAGGAGAGAGGAGAAGTCTGTTCTCCAGACTGCGGGACTGCCCAGCCACCAAGCACCTCCCTGCACTCCTGAGCCTGGGGCAGCTCCCCAGGGACAACTGCCTAAAGATCTGAGGAAAAAAAAAATTGCATTTTCTCTGGTCCACCTTTTCCCTCCACCTCTTTGATCTGGTAGCTTAATATGCCTTGAAATAGCCTCTGTCCCTGTGTGACATCAGAGGGCGGAGTGAAGGAGCTGGCCCAGTACCTAACACAGTCTAAAAACTTATCCTCAGTCCAGGGACTGCACTGACAAAGCCCACATCACACCTGCATCAGTAAACCAAATCTAAAGCTGTTCAAACCAAAGCACCAGGAGCCACTTGGAAGAGCATGAACCTGCACATTAAGATGAGCTGAGAACTAGGTGGGAAAGGGGAAAGTGACTTCTACAAGGGAGATCTTGCTCAGGGGTCAGGAAGCTCAGGAGCACATTGAGAACTGCCAAGAGTCAAGCTGAGTTAGACCTTGGAGGGGTATGTAAAACCATTGTCAGCAGGACTATAACCATGGAAATGAGAAGGGAATGAGGAGAGATGCTGTCCCTCTCTATAGAGCAGGGGTGCAGTGACGGATCATCCTGCCCAGCCCTCAGTGCCCCTCAGCCCCAAGCAACATCACTCCCAGCTGATCAGAAGGACTCTTGTTCCACTCCTTTTGCCTCTTCCTCCTGTAAGAGGCTTTCCTTTCATCCCAAGTCCCAGATACTTTCACCTTCTTTTCTGGTTAACACTAGAGGTAACAAGTTGTACTTCGATAGGGTCAAAAAAGCCAAGGCATATAATTCAGTTAAATACTTTGGTCTTCTTCCCGAGGCCGCTACCCTGGGAGACGTTGACATGCCTGCCTATAGCTCCAGCACATTTCTACCACGTTTGCATGGTAGGGCAGAAATAACTTTTAAGTTCAAGATCTGACTTTGACCTTCAAGTTGCAGTATTTCAATAGCCATGTCTCTGTATGGGGTGAATACAGCTGGTGCCTTGCCAACTCCCAATTCCTTTCTGGATATGCCCTTGCAGTGTTTGTTATTTCTAAGGCACATGAACCAATTCACCTCTGTATTCCTTCACTTTCTAACAGTGCTTTAGCTGAGATTCTTATTAGATCTTTTCTTTTCATAACTGATTATTAACAGTCCTTTTTCCTCAATGCCAGACAGTCTTTCAGTGTCTCCTTACATGAGCTGAGAAACATTGTGTCTTCAGTAAAACCTAACTTTCTGGTGTCCTACCGCTGAACCACACAATTCCTGCATTGTATCAGCTATGCTTTTTTCACATAACGAAGCCAACAGCAGAGCAAAACAGCGA